TAGAGATCATATTAAGACCAACTCCCCTGCCATGGGCAGGGACACCTTCCACTAGACCAGGCTGATCCAGCCTGGCCTTGACCACTTCCCAGAGTGGGCCAAGTGTTATAAAATTTTAAGTATTGATAAGAGTCACACAGATGTGTGGTACAAAGCAGGATCTGAATGATACTGCAGTTCTACAGTAACTTTTTCTGTTGTTATTGTCAGAGAATTTGGTGTGGGTTTCATTAGCTTGCAAGAGGCATAGTTTCTTTTGCATTTCAGGTTGTTGGATATGAAATCACAAAGTACACTCCTTTAGGAGCTCAAAGCAGAAAACAGGCTCCTGGAACCTGTAAGGTGCTCCTGTTTCTCAGTCATAAGAAAACAGCATCATTCTGTGTTTTCATCTGTGTAATTATTCAGAACCCCCTTTTGCCCTTTCCAAATGAGTTTTTATATGACTGTAATTCAACTTTCTGGTGTTTTATGAAAAACAAATTTTGGCCTTGAAGTTCTGCAACAATATTCAACTGCATGCACCTCCCTAACTGTCTACTGGTCTATAACAGCTAAGTCAACTCCCACAACTTTCAGATCAGTCTTATCCTCCCAGTCTTTCACATTAGTTCAAGCTCTACATTTCCTCTGATTTGAAAGAAGCAAAAGCAGTACTACACATTACTCAAAAGATGAAAAGTCAAAAAGAAAAAGATAAATAAAGAGGAACATAGAAAATCTTCACATGAAAATGTAATAAATATGTAAGAGGTTAGTTGTCAGAAACAACCCTTTCCTGCATTAGGAAAACATATTCTAAGTGTTTCAGCTGAAGAATACACATGTAGACATCCCATGAGAACTTACTTCAACATTCCTACATATTCAGGATTGATATAATCAAATGTCTTCTGTATTTTTTAAATTATTCTACCAGGAAGTGTGTGAAAACTTGGCTACATCTCATTTGGTCTTGAAAGCTCTCTCATGTATAGCATACCTCCTCGGAAAATGCCTGAACTGAGTTGTAAAACTGAATAGGACCAAGCATCCATATTTTCCTTATATTTGCATACAGATGGCAGTTTTTCAAAGATAAAATTGTAAGCTGCTAGTACATTGTCAAAGTTCAAGCAATCTGTGTTTAGTGCAAACATTTCTAATAGAGTTACATTGCTGCATTGAAAATAATAAAGTAGACAATGGAGCATTTCTCATCCATTTAATAATGCTGTACTAGTATTGGGAGGAGTATTTCACAGCCTGGGCACTCTATTTTTTTTGGTTTTGTTTTGGTGGTTTCTCCATGCACATCACTGTTTCCATGGAACCACTGCTCATGGAGCACGAATACCCACAGAGAAACCACACAAAAATTTCTTTTTCAAGCAGAATGTCATTCTCCTCTCAAATTTAAAGCAGAATTAAATTATTGTGCAAATTCACAAAGCTGCTTTTCCTATGATTTTTAGCTATCAATAATACCCTAAAGCCCACAAAACACTATTTCATTTATTGTTGCAATCAAGCAATCTGTACTTGTTCTAACAGGTACAGCAGACTTTTGTGCCAAATTTCTGCAGTCTCTGTGTCATCTCCCACGTGTTCAGATTTTTTCACAAGAAAACTGTAACAAGAAATTTGTTCATAGAAGATTTGCTAAGAGAGTTTCAAATAATCAGTTTTTTTCTTATGCTGCCAGAACAGTCCCTGCATCTGCTGCATAAAGCAGAAAAAGCCTTATGGCAGTTATTGAGATCTGCACTGATCCATGCAAAAATCATTTCTCCACTCATCCTAGAAAGTATAAACCCATCTCTTCTTATTGAGATCATGATCAATGCTATAATGACGCGTGTAGGTATAGCTGGACTAGCTACAATGCGTAATCTAAAGACTTTGAAGATCATATTGACTGAAAAGTGACAAGGAAAATATGTATAATGAAAAATATTTTCAGAAACTACCTAAATTTTGCTATTCTGCATCTCACCAACAACTCAGTTCAATTTGATGTGAAGTTTGTAACTAAATTACTTTTATGCTTGAAAAGTGTCTACCGCAATGCATAGTGTTTCAGAATACAGGTCTTGAAAAACATTATCTTGTTTTTGTTGAAATGAAAAATGGCCATGAGTACAGAAGTTAAAAAGTCATTCCAGGGCTTAGAGTATTTAGTCTATTTTTTTTTTTTTTGGTCTTGTTTTTCAACTTCTGAGCACTGTGTCTCAAACAAGGTCTGAGGGAAGGACTTTCAACTCCAGCTGTAGGAATCTTTAATGATCGTCTTCTTAAATTTAGTTGTCTTTCCTGAGCTCAACAAGTCCTGTTTATCTTGCAAATTCCACAATATGGCTTTGAAGCCCTGCCTAGCATTCTTTGCAGCAGCTCAGCCAAAGTGCAAGCTCATCAATCTGCTGGTGGCTGGAGAACTTCCTCTCCAAGCACATCTGCTGCTGTGCCTGGCACTGGCTGAAAATTCCAAAAGGACTCTGGTAAAAGCAGCTTCTAGGAGACATTCCATAGAATCACAGCATCATTTAGATTGGAAAAGATCACTGTGTCCAGCTTTTAACCTAGCACTGCCAAGATGACCATTAACATCCACTCCAGGCATCTTGGGCTGCAGTGACCCACACTGGTGGAGTCTGCAGTCCTGAGGGACACGGTCCAGACCAAGAGTTGAGTCAGGAGCCTGAATTTCAGGGAAGCAAACTTCCAGCTCTTGGATGAAGAGCAGGCCTTGGGAGACTGCCTTCAGGGAGAAGCAGAAGTGAGCTGGTAGATCTTTACTGATAATTTCCATAGGGCACAAGAAATTGTGGAAGGAGGGTAAGAAACTAAAGGGCAGCAAGGAAATTCATGGGCAGTGGAAGCAGGGACAGGTAACCTGGAAAGACTAGAGGGGTGTCTTTGGTTGTGTAGGGATGTAGAGAATAAGGCCAAGGCACAGTTGGAGCCATTGGTCAGTGGCTCAGTGTCCAGATGGGGATCAGTGACAAGTGGTGACCCTCAGGGCTCTTTCTGGGGACCTGTGCTATTCAATGTCTTCATCAATGACGTAGGCAAGGGGATTGAGTGTAGCCTCAGGAAGCTGGGCAATGTCTCATTCCCCCTCCAGTCACAGCCAGGCAGAGTGGGGCCAGGTACCTCCAAGCTCATTTAGAAATTCTGAACCACCATGAGCTTAGAAAAGTGTCTCCCTTTTGCTAGTCCAGTACCAGTTGCACTGCCTGGCTCTCCTTCTGTGTGGGCATTAGACAGACAAAACTAGCTGACATTATGGTCTCATGATTAAGATGCAAGACGTCTTATGTTATGACTTTGCTTTCAGATAATGTATGGATTTTCATATAAAAATCTATTATTTATCTTTGTGGAACACTATTTCCCATCAACTGATGTTTTTCATGGAAATAGAAACTTGCTTTTAGATTACGCATTTGAAAGACCTGTTCACTGTGACAAGAGTTTGAATTGATCCTGCTGCTGATGTCAGAGAGGTTGTATGCAGCTAATAGCACAGCACAGTCAAGATATTAATTCAGGATTTTATACAGATATTTGGTTTTAAAATTAAAATTATAAATTCATATTCATGAAGTCTGATCTTTCAAATATATATAGATATATTCACGTAATCTTGTTTACAAGGAAATGTGAGAACATTTATGATGCATTTAGAAAACTAAGCAAAGGCTTAAATTATTTCAAATCAAAGGGATATGAAAAGCATATTTTAACACTGAATTGAGTATCAAATAGAAATGCTGGAAGTCAGTTAGAATTATGGCTGGACTATCCGTACATTCCTGTTTCAGAGTTACAGGATGAACATTGGTACATACACTCCCTTCCCCAAGGTAAAAATCCTGCTTTACTGTTTCTGTATAACCCTTGGCTATATTTTGACTACCATACTATTATTATAATAAATAACAGTAAAACAGAGAGGAAGTAATAAAAACAACAAAAAAAAAGTCTCCTAATAGAACCATTTATTGACTTCATTAATAGCCTAAACGCTTAAAGGTTTTATATTACCAACGGTGCAGCACTGAGACATCTACACATATTCTAATTAACAGCAATCACACACACTAATAGTATAACCTACTGCTTAAGTAAATGAACATCCTTGCCCCCTGCTGCCACGAAGGGGCTGATAGGCATGCGCTTTATTGACAAAGTAAGCTAATTTACAGAGTGATTGTCCAAGAGGGAGCTGCTGTTTATTTGTAGAGTTTTTCCCACTGAACGTGCAGGGCAAACAACATGCTTAAATTGTTAATTAAAATATCAACAGCTAAATGTAAATACTATGGTCTCTGCGAGTACACTGACACAGGTTTACTTATTTAGAAAGAAACAGTCCCAGCAATTTTCTGTTTTAAAAATATGTTGTAAATCAGAGTGCTACTGGAGAGAAAGGAAGGGACCCTTCTCTCTTTCTCCAACCATCACTGTCAGTGGTTACACACCTCAAAAAGCCCACAGACTTACAGACCCACACAGGGTTTAATACCACTTCACAGCTTGTTTGGAGATACCTTTCTGAAAAAATAATGAGCCAGGCTGCTCCTGGCAGAAGAGAAATCTGAATCTAGAAACACGATGGTATCAACTTCTGTGGAATTTTCAACACACAAACCAAAGGCCCTCTTGAGTCTGCATTATCTGAGTACTGACCTTTTTCTCCCAACCTTAATAGGACATTGAACAAGAAATATCAAAGAGTATTTTAATGGTCAAAGCATCAAAAACTTCTACTCCATTCTGCAAAGTATGGAAGGCTGTGTTTTGGGAATCATGTTTTAGGAAAGAAACTGGTTTGAAGAAGAAAAAAAATCCCACAGCCAAATATTAGAAATTTATTGATGAAATATCAAGTGAGCACACACTACTCTCACAGATATAGAATGTACTTCTCTGAAATGTTTCTGCTGAAGCTCATATTTAGTTTAAAAACTATATACTGGAATGCTGACTCAAACTTTGTGTCCTCTTTTTTCTGATAGATGTTTCCAATTAAAGACTGCCATTCACTTTCCCAGAGAGACAATGACCTGAACCAGCAAGGAACACTGAGAACAATGCCAGCTTCCTCTTCCTAGGGTTCATTTCCTCAATTGAATAATTTCATACTTCTGAAATGATTAAAAAATTAAACATCGTGTTCTGTCTTTCTGTCAACCTAAGTGTCTTGTCCTGGCACAGGTAATTTTTGCTGGTCTAAAATAATTTGAAAAAATGTTTCAGGGCAACCAAAACATATCTGTGAACAAATAAAACAAATATTGTTCCAAAAACCACTAGTTAAAACTACCCATGATTCAGGGATAAAATGTTTTTTTCTCCCATATTACATTAATGCCTATAAAGGAATAAAATTTGGTCGCTTTCATACCAATTTTTCAACAGCACTTTGTCACTTTAGAACAAGTGTTGTTTTCTCTGTGCACTTTAGTCTGTAGGAGCATGAAAGACAAATCTCACTTCATGTCGCTGCAACAAATTATGATAAGCTGAGGTGGTATTTCCAGAAAAAGGCCTTTAATATTGCTTTTGTGCCAATCCATCAGTCCAACCTTATTAGAATTTTAGAAAAGTGTAAAGCCTGTAACTCTGCAGCCCTAAATTGCAGATTACAAACCAAAGGGGGCACTGTGAGGAGGCCTTGGATGAAATTTTCTTTTTCCTAAGAAGCAGAGTATATCTGTAGAAAAGGAAAATAAGTATGCTATGTGGGGATGCATAAAATTAATAACCCCCATTTTACTGACATTTGTGTAAAATACTAGAAGATGAAAATGCTGAAAATTATTAAATAAGTATAAACCATTAAAAACAAACAAAAAAACCCCAATAAGGCAATCCTCTCAAATTTTGTATACTAGCTATTACTGCTAAAGAAAGTAATTTGCAGTCATTGTACATTATGCTTTGAAAATGCCAGTTCTGGGCTCAGGGACAGCCAAAAGAATGTCTGGAATTATTAAGAAACAAATTTGGAATGAACCCTAAAGTGTCATTACACTGCAGTGTAAAATCCATGATGGATCTATCTCAGATACTGATCCCCACCTTAAATAAGATATTTAGAATGTGTGCCACAGATTTCATGGGAGAAAAGATGAAGTGACTAAAAGTTTTCATCTTGAAATAGATGACCTAAGGGAAATATGAAACAGGTCTACAAAATCATGCACAGTAAACAGAACATAAAAAAGGTTATTCGCCATTTCTCATGAAATAGGAACTAGGAGAACGGCAGAGAAATGCTCACACAGCAAGCTTAAAATGGTAAAACATGCAATTCATATTTGAAATTGTAAAGGGAACTGCCAGGGAATGTCATGGGGGACAAAATAAAAGTGGGTTTAAAAAAGTGCTTATGTGCCTCCATGATATATTGATAGCTATCAAACTTGATGGTGTAAATTCAAATTCCAGCTCTGGAAGCTACAGATTACCAGAAACCAGGGAAGTATAACACAGAAAGCATCATTTCCTCCTCAATCTTACTTCCCCAGGCATCTGCTCCCATCCACCCACTGCTGGGAGAGTGGCTGCAGAGCACACTGAACCTCTAGTCTGAATCACTGCTGCCGTTCTTACCTTCCTATATAATTACATCTCAGCACACCCATTTAATTATTCTGTGACTGTTTGAACAGTCTAGGGCCTGCTATGTGATGCATTTGCAAATGAGCTCTGAAAGTCATCATTTAGCAGGGTGTGTTATAAACAGTTTTTTGCAAATTTTCATCTAATACTGTTACTTTTAGAGAAGGGAAAGTGTGGATTTAATAAGCAGCACTTGGCTGAAGCTGTCATGTTTTACAGCTCTGTGAATTATTTCCATTCAGATTATGTACCTCTTCATAGCACGATCTAACTTCTGGGAGAGAAAAAAAAAATAAAACCACAGCTGTATCTGGATAGGTTTGAGATTTAATGCAAGTTATTGCTCTAACTATGAAATACAGATTTGATTCAAGACCTTCAATTTGCATCTAGTAACTAGTTTGTACAGTAATAGAATACTGGTTTTATATGTAATAAATCCCATGTTGATAGGTTACATGAAGCAACTGCTGCATCTCAGACATTTTTTTTCCCCTTAGACTAGAAAGTCTTTTGGGGACATGCTCGATTTCCCAGTTCTTCAGTACTTAACAGATCAAGTGAACTCCATTTGGAAGACTTTTGCATGAGTAATGGAGAGTGACATCTGAATTACAAACAGGCCTGCATAGTAATTGAACCACTGTGCAGATAGAAGTGAAGCTCCAAGATTTGCACACTTAAGGAAAAGGAAAAGAAGTACTTTTTTTAATCACAAACTTTATTAATCACTTGTCACATGTGCAACCACTGCAGCTATTAATCACTCACATACAACTGCACTCCTGTTGGTTTGCTAGCCCAAATATAAATTATCATGTCAAAGATTAACCACTTTTCTTTCATTAATACTTTGTTTTATTTCCTTCCACTCCCCATTTTCTCTTGCAGAAAAGGCTTGAGTTTGGACAACTGAAGTCTGAATGATTAATCATAGTGACAGAAGGTTGACCACAGGGTCAACAAACAATGAATAAAAACATAAGACACGGGTTCATTCCAGGTTATACTCATGTTTCATTTCAGGAGTGAGAGAACAGCAGGCTCTTTTCCTCAGAAATTGCTGTCTAATAGTCAGAAGGCAACCTTAGCACAATGCCCGTGCTGTTACTTCCCCACCAAAAAGCCAGAGCCATTTGTTATTAGAGTTGCTGTGTAGGCCACCCAGTCTGGTGGAACAACACACTTCAGCAATTTCAGAGCACAGCTAAATGCTGACATCTCTGGGGCTTTGACTACTGCAAACAAAGGCAGCAATCAAGCCACAGAAGCTTTCCCTGAAGTGTGATATAGGATCATAAATATAGCATGATGGCTATTAAGCTCATAAGTTGTAGTCAGAAGATCTTATAATCAAAAGTCCTCAGGGTTGTACTGCTAAAAATAAAAGAACTGTGAAAGAAAACAAAATGTATGGAATTGGACGAGAAATTGAGAGTCTTATGATGACTTCTAACAATTCATAGGGATAAAAAAATGGATGTAAGTTGCATTGCAATTGTGAAATGAAGAGTTTTTTATAATATTTAAGTGAAACCCCTTTTCAATACTGTAACTACTGAGACCAATCAAAGGCAGAATAGAGTCTAGTTCTTGTAAAAAGCAAACACCGAAAATATAATGAAACTACTCCCTCAGTGCAGCTTACAAGGAAGTCTTCATTTTGATGATCATGAGAAAGTTTTTTTCTCTTGGACAGAGTCTAACAACAGTGATATCTTCAACCCAGTGGGACAATTCCTTCAAATGACTCAAAATCCCAGCAAGATTTCAAGGTCTATTTTGCAATAGTAAAGGTTCAAAGATGCTCAATCAAAACTCTCCAAGAGATGAAACTCTGTAAAAAGCTCTTTAACAGCTTATATAAAAAAGTGTGGTGACATCTCACTTGTTTTTGTTGTTTTTTTTTTTTTTTAATGCTTGCAGAAACTAAATGTGAAGAATCAACAAAAACAAAAAATCTTCAGGTAAAAGCAAAAAGAATGAGCAAAGACTCAGAAAGATGATACAGACTGTTTTGCTATGGATTTAATAGATAATCTACACTGTGATGGACAAAATAGCTCCTTGTGACTTAGGACAGCTGTAATCAGGGATCTTTTCTCCTAATGAGTATTTTCTCAAAAGACTTAACTCACTTGCATATCTAAGTTTTCAGAGCTTTCTTAAAAAAGTGAAGAAATGTTTACTCACACAGCTATTATTTTAAAAATTTAAACTGATCTTTGTAGTAAGTTTTTTTAAAATCTTAAAAATTATGTGACTGAAATCTTCAGTGTAAAATATTTTTATGGGTTTTTTATCTTTTATATTTGAGTTGGCTCAAGATTTGGATAAAAACAAATGCAAGGAGATAAACCTCTCATTTTTTTCAAAACCTTTTATAAATAAACACATTGTAAATTTGGAAATCAGCTAAAATCCTTAATGTAACACTATACTAAGGAGAATGTTGGTACAAATGTTTTTACTTTGACTTCATTTCTCTGATAACTCTATCCATGTCCAACTCTGCACTGAAGACAAAAACGACGTATTAAGTCTGTCAGTCTTTGGATGAGCCCTTCCTCCTGGGTAGCATTTTCCAGCTCTAAATCTCAGAACACATGACAAATGTCAGCATTCCTATCTCAGGACATTGAAATCCAGGAGAAGAGAGTGCCCAAATAACAAAGTTAGGAGTCAAATCAAAGAGATCTGAATGTTCATCTGTATTTTATCCAGTGCAGCCCCTTTTCCCAATGATACCAGCCACAGGCACTCTTGATCTGCAATTGGATTCACTGAACAGCATTCCCAGCAAAGGCTGATGTGCGAGGAGCCCAATGGCATTGTTTGCCCTGGGTGCAATGCTGACCATCAAAACTACCAGAATTCTCCACGTGCTTAAAGCAGTACATGGATTTCTTGGAATACATGATTTAATAAAGCTCATTCCTTTACATACCCACTGAAAACAGCAGCATTTCTTTAGGAGTTCCTAGGCATGTCAATACTCCCATAAAAAAAAAAAAAAAGAAAAAGAAAAAAAAGCAGTAATATTGACACAATTCTACCAACAGAAGTCAGCTGTAACATAAAACATTAATTTAAATATATTTGATTACATAACAATTCAACACACACAGCTATCTTACTGTGAATATTTGTGTCTCTGAACTTAATTTCAATCATCATCTTACTTTGAAGTGTTTTTCTAATCACTTCATTTTGCTTTGTTTCAGAACTCCTACAATAACCAGGAGTCTTTCCAAGAAGGCAATTTTTGCCTACCAGTTAAATGCCAGACTCAGGAAAGATCTTTGTATACAATCTGTCTGATCTACCTCGTCACCTGAGAGGATAAACAGGATTTACCTTGGTCTGTAGGCATTAACTCTGTGAGCTTTAAAATCCAACTTGTTCTCAGAGTGATTGCCTGCCCAACTACACTGCATTACACTGAGTTTCTCCAAAATGCTGAGACTCCTGGTCACCCTGACAAATAGGACTTTTTCAGGGTTCTGTAAAAAGTAGGGTTTTTTTCAGGTTTTTTTTGTGTTTGTTTGTTTGTTTGTAGTTTTATCATGGATAAAACCAAAATTATTTCCCCTACATTTATGCTCAGCAAAATTGTTATGGAAGTGTTTTGCCTTGGTAAGAAGTGGCTACTTTAATTCCAGATAAAAATGCTTTTATTGTCAAAGCTTTCCTTTTTTAGAAAGTTAAATTTATAATTTAAGGAGAAAAAAGAAAAAAAGAACTGGTAATTAAAACCTGCAAGTTTTAATCTAGAAAATGATTCATTTTGCAGAGAGTTTTGTGTTTCATTTACGTAGCACAGTATATGAAACCTAACTTTTATAGTCATGGAAATCTCAAAACTACCTTTTGGGCAAGCAGCACACTCCTTGGAAAATTTAACTCAGCTTCAATTATTTTTTTATGTAAGAAAGAATTTCTCAGGATCTTACTTTTACTATTTTTCTCAAAAAATATCTACTTTAAAATTCATTCAGTGAAATGTAAGGCTTTGATCTGCTGCATGATTGCTCTGTGTTATTATTTAGTATATTTGTAACTCATTGAGATGAACGTTTCTGTGAAAAACTGCAGTTCTTAAGCACACATCCAATGTGCTCCTGTGTCACTGTTCAGCTTTTCCCTGGTTTAAAACAGAACTGCACTGTCTTTAAGTGAATAAAGGATCATTATTACTCATTTGCTTAAACTGTTTTGCACACTAGTTGATTGGTGCATTTTACATATTTTTTGACATAAATAGACAGTTTGGAATCCCAATGAAGAAATGGTGTTCACAAGAAAATATCAGTATGGCCTCAAGAAGAAATTCTGAATACTTCTGAACAAGCTCCATATAAACATCCTAACTGTGGTGAGATGAAATACATTGGATGAAAAATACATCTTCAACCATTAAAAAGTTCTCTTGCAACTATTGGACCAAGTCATTCGTTATAATGTTCCTATATTCCATTGGTCTCTATGTGATATGGAACTTATTCTAGCAAGAAAGACGATAGATAACTCTGCCTCAAACCACTTGTGAACACTGGAGCAGTCACACAAGCTAAACAAAGAAAATTAAACCAATTTTAGTTGTCTTCGGTGAGGTTACAAGGTGAAGAGTGTGAGCTATAAAACAAAAGCTGCTCCCAGTGGGAGCTGATACCTGCACATCAAAATGTGTTCAAGCCTGTTCAAATTAAAAACTAGAAGACCTGGAGGTTTACCTAGAAACACTAAAATAATTTTCAAGCCTTTTCTTGAAAATCAAAAGTGTTCCACTGGGAGGATTGGTCTTTGGAAGACCTTCTGTCCTATATTAAGCCACAGGTGTAAGCAAAATTGAAAAGGTTGCCTCAGGAGAGGCAGAAAAGTTATATTACAATAGGATGACATTAGTAATTCAGATGATAGCAAAAAATCCTAATTTATTCAGGAAATGACATTTTATTTACCGTGGCTCTGCAATTTGAAAATTTAGAGAAGACACATCAATACAAATTTCTTGCTAAGAGAAGGTATAAGCATCTGACACGGCTGGCTGCTGCCAGCAAACCACTTTCAGTATTCACACAGGGCTCTGCAAGCAGCAACGTGTTTGAAAACAAGAGGGAAGTCCTCTATAATGAAATGCCCATTCATTTTTCATGTTACACTGTTCTGCCCATTCTTTCCTTCTCTCATATATCATGCTTTTAACAACTCAAGTTTTTTGCCACTGCTCCATTAGCTTGGTATTCTTTTTCAAACTGTTGTCAACTTGTTATTTTTCAGCATTTGACAACCTGCCTATAAACTGCTGTACCTGGAGGAATATTGCTTGCCTGATTCCTACAGAGATTACATGGTAATAATTTTGCAATATATTATGGAACCATTAGAAATTCTGTATGAAATACAATGAAAATAATAGACTTGTATTTTAATTGTTCTCCTGAATCAAGTCTGTCAGAAAACAACAAATTTTCACTGAAAAATCTGGCTACATCAAAATAAAGACATATGGTGAGATCATTTCATTGTAGAAAGATGGAAAAATGCTAAAGAATTCTCTAATACCTTAAAAAATATTGAAGGTTCTTTTTTTCAATTTTTGATTCTACCATTATTCAGCTATTTTGTTATAAAGTAACATTTTGAGAGGAGAGAATGCTCTTTCATAGAAATAAACACCTAAAGTCTTAAAAATATTTTTCCCCCAGGAGTTTGTTTTGGGTTTTTTTTTAAATTTCAATATTCTTAGATATTTTTTTCTGTCCTGTACTTATCTCTTTCCTAGCCTAGATAGACAAAAATGAAGTCTTGATTCTATGCAGTAAGAAAGAGCTGGGCACTGAGGAGGGTGAGCACCAGGCAGAGCAGAGGCCACAATGAGCAGTGCATACACCTGGCTCTGCTCATTCATACCTTTCTTCTGTTGCCCACCCCAGAACTCTGTTTTCTTTATTTTTTTTTCCCATTCTCTTAGCTGAATGGCAAAAGGAAAACAGTTTTTAAAACTCCATCAGGCCTGGATGGCTGGCAGTGCACTTCCAGGGCAGAGAAGAGGCAGCTGTACCACTGCCTGAGATTTCTGCTCCACTTCTGCTATTTTAATATCTCATATCACACTCTGGCAGGGTGACCCAGCTGGCAGATTTCAAGTGACTTACAAGGAAAAGATCATTTTTATTTTGTGTAGTTTCTTTCTGAACTACACTGATTATGAGCCTTCTGGAAAAAAGAGCTGATGGGAGTTTTTTTGCAATTTGGAAACTAACTAAAGTAATAATAAGGCTAAAAATAATCTCTCAACTTTTTTGAGAGAGTAGGAATACATGACCTAGACTGAGAAGCTGAGGGAAGAGGGCTGGTTTAGCCAGGAAAAGAGATTTGGAAAAGGCTTTGGGAACACTGAAGAGCCATCTGCCAGCCCCCATGGAGGTCACAGGGGAGCCCGAGCCAGGCTGCACCATGAGACAACAGCTAGAACATGAATCAGAACATCCAGAACACAGCAAAGGGCTCACTGTGAGGGCAAGGAAGCACTGGAGCAGGTTAAATGGCAAGGTTGTGGAATCCTGTCCCTGAAGTATTGTCAACTTGACAGAGTCCCAGGCAACTTGGTCTGAATTCAGCACTGGCTTTGCTTTGAGCAGAACATGGGACCAGAGGCCCCATGAGGACTTTCCAGCCTGGGGGAATCCGTGGTTCTGTGAGTTCTGGCATAATAGGAAACAGCTGAACTTCCCCACACCTCAGAAAAACAAAACATGAAGAATTTTTGGTTTGCTTCTTGATTTAGAAAAAATGCAGTCACTTCGTCCTGGTCAAGAAGCAGCTGACATGACACAGACCGTTTGAAAGTTTCTATAGATATTTTGAAATGTCCTGAATTCTGAAGGAGGCAAGGCTTAAAACCAGATCTGGATGGAGTAGCTTGTCTGACTGTTGTCAGAACCTACCCCTTAGTTTTGAGCATCTTGGATTTCATTTTTCCTTAAGAAATAATTCTTCACCCATCTAATTGTAGGAAAAAAAACTTGGGAAAACTAATGGAATGAACCCTGCTGACTCCCACTTGTGGTTGGAGCTCTAATTAAGGGAACAGTACACAGAAACACACTATTCCCTCCTCTCCCTATTTGAGCTGTGTTCATTTATAAGGAAAAAAACCCACTTTATTGTCATTCCTACACACATTGTAAAATATGGTTCCAAAGATCTTACAAGCCCAACATAAGGAAGTCAACTGCTCTTACACTGCAGGAAACTAACAGGCATCCTACATTATAAGGTGAAAAGAGAGCAAGGTTTCAGCTTCAAATGAAAGGAATCAAACCCATGACTGCTGGTGAGGTGTGCATGTCTGCAGGCACGACTATGCTATTCTTGTCTCTAAATAATAGCTAAAGAAATACAACTAAGTGTTGTGCTAAAGTCACAGTTTCTGTACTTCATCACTAGAGTGCTCTTTTAGTGAACATCTTCTGTTCTTCAGAGCCACAGAATATAATCATATGACCCTGTCCTAGACTGAAGTGAAGGACACTTTTCTTTTGCTATGAACAAATCCTCTGTGAAAAAAGTCCTCTGTGAAAAAATCCATCTACTACAGCAGAAGCATCGAGAATAAGAAGATGAGAACATACAGAAATGTATGAAGAAACTAGGCAGTGCTTCTCTTAAGAATAGCCAATAAGTAATTTGTTTTAAGAAAAAAGAAACAAAAAGCAGTGTTGTTCAAAACTCTGTTTGCAGGAGGCCCGCTGGAGGTGAGAACTGCCTGGTAGATGGGGCTGCAAGTGTAAGCACTTTAATACTGGGTTGTCAGAGGTGGAAAAGAAAGTATTATGTCACAATTTTCAGATATCTAAATTTAGAAGTTTCTAAAGCTGCCAGTTATCACCCTGTTTTTTGATGCAGCATGCTGGATTTTGGGTTCTCAAATGCATCACTACCAGTTTACATAAATGTTTTCAAAATAGAAGTTATCAGTGCATGAAGGACAGTGAATCCCACTGACTTCTGGTTGCCTGGAAGTACATGGCTGGCTAAGAATATATTTGGAACTTTCTCAAAATTCAGGAAGCAGGGGAGAAAGATATAAGTGAAGTACATTTGTGTTCTCAAAGACACCCACTGAGTCCTCCAGAGCAGGGAATTTACCTCTTGGAAATGCACTGCCCAACACTCCAGGATAAGAGCACAGTCTCTGATGTCACTGTTCATGCAAGCCAAGCATTCAGACAGCTGTGCTAACAAGCACATTAAAAAATAATTTCCCAGACTTCTTACTGAAAC